GCTTTTAAAAAAGATCAAAAAATTTACAAACACCGTCAAGGTTCTGGGATTCTAGGAGACAATTTTCACAACACACAAGGCGCAGGCAAAAAATTTGTCAACGTTCAGCTGGAAAGCCGCTGGAAAGTACGAGGGGGTGTTGCGGGCGGCGAGCGGTGGGCGGTGGGACTTCGAGACAAGAGCCAGGTGCGGTGTGCGTGCTTGTGTGGATGCGACTGCGTGGGTACAGCACAGATGAGAAGTGAGATCCGAGCTTGGAGAGAGAAGGAGGACTCTGTGGGATGAGGCCCAAGGATGATGCGGTGATGAGGTCGATGGGGCGTTCGATTCGGGTCGAGTCGGTTGCGTTGCACTTCACACGGTTGCTGGTGCAGGGCAGACCATATGTTGGTGTAGGTCTCTGCTCAAGTAGTGTTGATGATGATGTCTGACACTGCAGGCTTCGGTCTAAGTGTGCACAAGAGACGCGACTGGCTGCAGGGCGTGGTCTGATGAATTGTTGGCTCGAATTGGGGACAAGCAAAGACCCGAGAGACGCTGGTGTGGAGGCAGACGCAACAGAATATGCAGAGCGTGAAAACCAGAGAGGCGCGGAGCAGTATATGTAATGAACAATGCCGAGGTGGAAGATGTTGGAGCAGCTAAGGTCACGCAGCTTGTTGCGTTGATGATCCTCAAGGAAGATGGGGAAAAAACAGGGAGCAGCCAAGGCAAAGCAGATGCAGCTCCAGATGCAGGTGGGATCTGGGGGGGGTGCTGAGGGTCTTTGAGTGATCCCACGAGTTGGCGATTGAGGCCTGGCCGGGGGGGGGGGGGCGATGGCGAGGGCGCTGAGGGGGAGGGGTGTCACCAGCGTCGTTCAGGGCCTTCCCCACTACACCTGCGCGCTGGCCGACCACTGGCATTGACTCGGCTCAGGCGGTCTTGGCAGGCTCATACGGTCACTTGGGAGTGTTATTGATCGCTGTAAAGGGGCGACTTTCGTGGTTGCCCCCAATGACGAGGTGCCATAAATGTCTTTATTGGGATTAGCGTCTTGGTAATGCATGCCGCCCAGCCAGGGTCTGACTCTCGTTTCTCTTTGTACATTCATCCTTGACAAGTCTTTTGGCTCTCGTTCTCGTCAACTTCGTCCCCAGACAAACGACAACATCACGTCAATAGCATGCCCGCCCTGCCTTGCGCTCCTCAGCTACCGCTGTGTCCAGGAGATCTTCGGTCCATGAGCGCCGGCGGTCGACGAGACGTCTCCAGAGCAGCACGCACGCAGACTGATAAAAGGGTGTGAGACAGGCCGGTCTCGTGCCCCGATCACAAGCGACGAACCCAAGACTCCGTTTTCGACGCTAACTCCCCTTCTGAATCGCCTCCCGTGTTTGGCCTTGCATGCCCAGGCCACGGAACGTACCCTGCAGATTTGCTCGCCAACGTGCTTTCGTCAGACGCCTGGCCCGCCCGATCTTGACTGAACCAAATTCTCGCTGCGCCCATCTGTCAGGACCTGTTCACAGCCGGGCCCAGAGCATTCCATGAACCCCTATCGTCGCTACCTCTTCGCTAGCCACGGGAACTCCCAGGTCGTGAGAATCCTCTCCTTCGAGCGTCTTTGTCGCATGAACCTGCCTCAGGACCCAAACCATCGGGCCACCCCTCAGCCCTCTGTATGCAAGTCTCTGCGAGGAACGTGAGGCCAAGGTGCCACTGCTGGCCCCCAGGTTTCTCCCCCAGCATTCCATGTTTCCTGAGGCTTCGCTTCGTCGCACCGGATGCGCCAACGGCGTGATCACTGAAATAGCTCGGCATTGGCTTGTGCCTAGGAACTAATCTTGGCCTGCTGTTATGGCAGTTCCTACTTACTGTACATCCCAGATCTAGATCGGCATATCCCGATCAAATGTTGCTCCTGTCTTGGCTGACAACGAGCTGCTACAACCGCCACAGCCGCTGTGGCGGCAACCATCACGAACTTTTAGTTTTTCATACTGGTGTTTCCAAACCTTCGTCTCCAAAAGCTCTCCATCCGTGTTCTGCTGGTCCGCTTTAGAGTCCAATTGGATTTTTTGGTTCTTTTTTTTGTTCCCTCATCTGCATGACCTACATTACTTATGGTACGAAGCTTCGATCATATAACGCCCGAGCTCCATGTCGATCACCAGTGGCGGGCAGATGCCAAACCGAGGTTTCTCTCGCCCTGTTCTCTGCGTCTTCGGTGGCGCCCTCTGTACAAGCCCGATTTGTATGGTCAGCATTCCCTTGAGCACGGCTGCGCAAGATCACAAAACCCAACAGCTAGCTACCCGCCTCTCGCGTGTTACACTGTCTCCCCATCTGCTTGCAGCGCAGCCACCCTTGCGCTGCTGAAACACACCTCGCAAGCTGGCATGCTCGGGTTTCGGCGCACCAGCTCCCTCGCTCAACTCGCCTCCCCGCCAACCGCGTGGAAGCCCTTCTACCAGTTCTTCTCGAAGGGGCTCCGCATTCCAGCTGTGCCACCCTGCACTGCGTTCGCTCAGGCAGCTGCTGCGCCCGTTTACTCGTCCTTCCGGGACCGAGAGCGAGACCGTCTCTCGTTGGTATCGTTTCCCAGGGCAGAGCTCGCTTAATGCTTTCTTTTGCGCGCCAGGCACAACGGCGCGCGCATCTGTGGCCTGGTGTCTTAGAAGCAGAGTTGAAGATCTAGTCAGCTCGCCCTTGCTCGTCGCTTGTATGGCTGACGTCAACGTGAACATGGGGAGATGATGTCCCGTTTGCCAAGGAGGCGGGCATGGGCCCCACTGTCTTTCAGATTGTCATGTTTATGCTGCAAACCCATTCACGGTCCAAGCAGGGCCGGCGG